GAAAAGGGCATCTGATCCCCTGGAACTTGAGTTATTACCTGCATGTGGGTGCTGGGAACCAAACCTGAATCCTCTGCAAGAGCATCCAGTACTCTTAACAACTGAGCCATCAACCCTTGGCATTCTTTATTTATGATATGACATTTGTTGAGCCATGACTGTGCCTCGGACTGTCCTAAACCTTTACTCATATGAATTGGTTTGATCTCCACAATAATTTTAGCAAGTGAGACCTATGATAACCCCACTATAGAGAGGAGGATAAAGCACAGAGGTTAATGAGCTTTTCCAAGATCATTAACAGAGTTGTTCTGTTTATTTCTAAGAATGACATCTGATGCCTTTACCAAGTATACACATACCAAGATAGATAATTCGCCAGATATTAACTTTGCTATGTGCTATGCATTGATTTTTTCTACTCTATTTTTGTATTTTGTTCTCGTTATTTTTTCTTAAATTCTGGTCATAAAAACCACGTTTGGGCCAGAGGTATAACTGTGGTAGACCACTTGCTTAGCATGCACAAAGCCCTGATTCAATCCCCCAGTGCTGCAAAGAAAGATGAAACTAAAAAACATGCTTTGGGGGTTGGAGAGATGATTCAGCAGTTAAGACCATTGGCTGCTCTTGCTGAGGGCCTCGGTTTGGTTCCCAGCATCAACATGGCTACTAACAACATCTGTTACTCCCATTTCAGGTGCCCTCTTCTGGCTTTTCGGGTACTGCATGCATGTGATATACTTACATGCATGCAGACAAAACACTGGTACACATAAAATAAAAATAAATAAAACATAACCAAAAGATTTTTAAAACATGATCTCACATGCAGATGCTTTAAAAATTGATCTGTGACGGGGCTGAAGAGATGGCTCAGCAGTTAAGAACACTGACTGTTCTTGCAGAAGACCCAGGTTTGAATCCCAGCACCCACATGGCAGCTAACAGCTGTCCGTAACTCCAGTTCCAGGGGATCCGACAGCCTCTTCTGTCTTCCGCGGGCATTGCACGACACAGGTGCACTTACCTACATGCAGGGAATACACACATACACATAAAAAATTTTTTTAATTAAAAAAATTGATCTGTGAAGGAGAAAGCAGTTACTGGGGGAGCTGGGGCTGGCAGTGAAAGGGGACTGGGGAGGGTGGGCAGCAGGATCAAGGGTACAGTGGGAAAGGAGGAGTGGAGGATTCTAATGCTTTTAACTGTGGTTAACAATTAATCATATATTTCAAAGTAGCTAGTATAGAGAGGATTTTCAATGCTCCTACCATAAAGAAATGATACGTGTTTCAAGCAATGAATATGCCCTGCTATCTTGGTCTGGGCATTGGCACATTTAATGAAAAGTCAAACTGTACCCAAATTATTGTGTGTCAAGGAAAAAAATTTTCTAAATGTATTTTTAAAACTTCTGGTCATGACCCACTAAATTGATTTCATAACCCATTGGTGAATCACCACTGTAGCCTGACAGACTGAGTCATAGGAGGCTCCAGGCCAGGACTCCAACTTCAGCAATGTGGCTCCACAGCCTGATCTTTTGGGATAAAGAATAGACTGAGGGGGCTGGAGGGATGGCTCAGTGGTTAAGAGAACTGTTTGCTCTTGCAGAGGACCTGGGTTCAGTTCCCAGCACCCACATAGCAACTAATAAGTCTCCAAAACTCCAGTTCCAGGGGTCCATCATCCTCCTCTGACCTCCATGAACATTCCACTTTCAGGGTGCACTTATATACATGCAGGCAAAACACTTACACACATGAAAATAAAAATAAATACATCAAAAAAAGTAAAATTAAAGAAAGGCCTGAGCAGGGCGTGGTAGATACCTGTAATAACAGTACTTGGGAGGCTGAAGCAAGAGGATCACAAGTTTATAGCCAGCCTGGGCTACATAAAAATCTGGGGCAGGGAGGGAGACAACTCAGTCAGTAAAATGTTTGAACGAGGACCAGAGCCAGATCCCTGCACCCACATAACAAGCCAGATGCCCTGTGCACACCTGTAACCCCCAGGTCCAAGGGAAGCAGAGCCCAGAGGATTGCTGAGAACTGATGACTTCCAATCTAGCTGAGGAAACATGAGTTCCCGGTTCAGAAAAAGACCCTGCCTCAAAGGAATTGAGAGAAAGTGATAGACAAAGACACCCGACGCCCTCTTCTGGCCTCCATTCACACACACAGGTACATGTATCAGCGCGTACATGTGCATGTACACCCACACATAGACGCATACACACTAATTTTTTTTGAGACAGGGTCTCCCTGTAGCCCCAGCCAACCTGGAACTCACTACGTAGACCAAGCTGGCCTTGAACTCACAGAGATCCGCCTGCCTCTGCCTCTCAAGTGCTGGAATTAAAGACATGCACCACCATACCCAGCCTAACTAATCTTTTAAAAAATTTAAAAGGGGGCTGGAGAGATGGCTCAGCAGTTAAGAACACTGGTTGTTTTTGCAGAAGACCCAGGTTCGAATCCCAGCACCCACATGGCAGCTAACAACTGTCTGTAACTCTAGTTCCAGGGGATCCAACAGCCTCTTCTGACCTCCTCAGGCATTGCATGACATGGGTGAACTTACCTACATGCAGGCAATACACACATACACATAAAATAAAAATAATAAATATTTTTTTAATTTAAAAGGCCAATGACATGGCTCAGAGGATAAAGGAGCTTGTGACCAAGTTTGACTTGATTCAAGTTTGACTCCTGGGATCCATATGGTATAAGGAGACAAACAAGTTCCACAAGTTGTCTTCTGACATCCACTCATAAACTGTGGCATGTGGCACCCCTCCACACACACACGCACAATAAATAAATAAATGTAATTTAAATTTTTTAAATAAATGACTTTTTTACATTTTATTTATTGTTTTTATTCTATGTGTATGAGTGTATTGTCTGCATGTATGTGAGTGCATCCTTGTCGTGCAATGCTTCGGAGGTCAGAAGAGGACTTTGGATTCCCCTGGAACTGGAGTTAAGGACGGTTCATAGCCGCCATGTGGGTGCTGGGAATAGAACCCGGGTCCTCTATAAGAGCAGTCAGTGCTCTTAACCGCTGAGCCATCTCTCCAGCCCCAATAAATTAATTTTTTTAAGTGGAAGAAGCTGGTGAGATGGCTTGATGGATAAAGGTACTTGCCACACAAACTTAGCAGCCTGAATTGGATCCCTGGAACCCACATAAAAGTGGAAAGAGAGAACTAACTTCACATAATTCTCTGACAGCCACTCATGTGCCAGGGCATGTGCACCTGCTCACACATATCATCATCATCATCATCATCATCATCATTATCATCATCATCATCATTATCATCATCATCATCATCATTATCATCATCATCATCATCACTATCATCATCAAATAATTTTTTTTCAATTTTGTCTGGAAATTTATTGAACATAATTAATCTATTATAGTACAAATAGTTTAGTTATTAAACATATTTGTCTTGCTTTAGCAACTTTAATTTCTCTTGAAATTCCCCAAGTGTTTTCTCAAATCACTCATCTTGATCCATCACTTTAAAAACAGCACCAGGGGCTAGAGAGATGGCTCAGTGGTTAAGAGCACTGGCTGCTCTTGCAGAGGACCCAAGTTCAAATCCCAGCACCCACATGATGGCTAACAATCATCTGAAACTCCAGTCCCAGGGGATCTGACACCCTCTTCTGACCTCCACTGGCATTGCACTACACAGATGCACATACGTACACAAAGGCAATACACTCATACACATAAAAAATTAATTAGGGACTGAAGAGATGGCTCAGCGGTTAAGAGCACTGACTGCTCTTGCAGAGGACCCGGGTTCAATTCCCAGCACCCACATGACGGCTACGAACCATCCTTAACTCCAGTTCCAGAGAAATCTGAAACCCCCTTCTGACCTCAAAGGCATTGCACGACACTGGTGCACTCACATACATTCAGGCAATACACTCATACACATAAAATAAAAATAATAAAATATTTTTTAAATTAATTAATTAATGATATTCTAAAAATCTTAAATAAAAAAATTTTAAAAAAGAGTGCTAAGGACCTGAGTCTACTTTTCAAGCATCTCCATCATATTTATGGGACACATTTATTCAAAGCTTATCTTTCATTCCTGTTTAGATAAATTGTATGACTTTATTGGTGTACTTACACTGGTGTATCTGCAGGCCTGGTCTCCCCACTTTACACCCCTCCAACTAATGGAGCTCAAAATTAGAACACCAAGATGGGAAGACAGAACAGGCAAATGCCACAGATTCAATGTCCCAGCGTCCCTTTGGCTGGCCCTTACTGCTTTTTCCCATCCCTCCCACTCATCCTATGAATAAATCCTGACTTGTCACAGAAAAATGTGCCACTCTTACATTCACAGACAGGAAATTCTTAACTCCATCAATTTTGATGAAAATTAATATGGAATTTCCCAAACTGTTATGTAGCTTTAAACAAAAACAATCTGGGTGACAAATCTAGATTGTCTTAATTTTCATAGACTAGAGACCACCAATTAAAGCTCCAAGCCTAGGAAGGTTAAGAGGTAAAAGCAGCCAGGCATGGTAGCACATGCCTTTAATCCCAGCACTCAGGTGGCAGAGGCAGGTGGATTTCTGTAAGTTTAAGGCCAGCCTGGTCTATATAGTGAGTTCCAGGCCAGCTGGGGCTACAGGGAGACCCTGTCTCAAAAAGACCAAAAAAGAAAAAACAAAAAAATCAAGAGGTAAAAGCAAAGGCTCTGAGCCTGGCACTGCTGATGAAGGTCATGAGATGCCACAGGATCTGAACATCCTGGGAAGGGAACAGAGAATTCTTTTTTAAAAGAAAGAAATGGTGAGAGTTGGAACTGGTAACATTTGTCATGGAGAGGTTGGTGGTGACATGATGGTATTAATGATGGGGGAACAAAACTGGGGAGTGACCCCTCTGTAGCAGTACCCCCTCCCCAAGTCAAGCTGAGGCTTTTTCTCCCTCCCCAGCACTTCCCAGAGCACCTGGACCATTTCGTGGAGAACATGGAGGACTTCTCTAATGACCTGTTCAGCAGTTTCTTTGATGACCCCATGCTAGATGAAAAGAGCCCTCTGCTGGACATGGAACTGGACTCCCCAGCACCAGGCATCCAGGCTGAGCACAGCTACTCCCTGAGTGGGGACTCTGCACCCCAGAGCCCCCTGGTGCCCATCAAGATGGAGAACACCACCCAAGGTAAGAATTGCAAGGGCCCAGGAGGGAGGAAGCTTCTAAGGGACAAGAGGGGACTCTTGCTGCCCAAGACTCCTGTAGCAGCTTCCCACATAGCTCCTGCCTTTTGGGTACCATGGAATTTGAACCCATTTGGGCACTTCTCAAAGGGCTTGGCCTGACAACAGTTGATTCACAGAGTATAGCTCTTAGACCCCAGGGCCACCTGGGAGCTTGTTAGAAATACACTTTGGCAGTTAAGGGTTAAGGGCAACTACTGGCTTTTGCAAGAACCCAAGTTCAATTTCCAGCACCCATGTCAGGTTGCTCCCAACCACCTATAACTCCAGCTCCAGGAGGATCTGACACTTCTGATTTCCATGAGCACCTACACTTATGTGTACGTACTTACACACATACACGTAACTAAATATTTGATTAAATGTTCAAAGGGGCTGGAGAGATAGCTCAGCAGTTAAGAGTACTGACTGCTTTTGCAAAGGACTTAGGTTTGGTTCCCAGCACCCACATGGTAGTTAACAACTGTCCATAACTCCTACTCCAGGGGATCCACTACCCTCTTCTTACCCCCACAGGCACTGTATGACACGGGTGCACTTACATAAATGTAGGCAAAATACTCATATACATAAAATAAAAATAAATAAATCAGTGCTGGGTGTTGTGGTGCATGCCTTTAATCCCAGCCCTTGGGAGGCAGAGGCAGACAGGTTTCTGAGAGACAGAGACAGAGATAGACCAGCCTGGTCTATATAGTGAGATTCGGCCAATTGGGGCTACAGGTAGACTCTGTCTCAAAAACCCAAATAAATTATTTTTTAAAAAACAGTCACTGAAACAGCAAGCTTCAGGTTCAGTGAGAGGCAATGTCTCAAAAATTAAGGTGAAGGTCAATAGAGGAAGACACCCAACATCAACCTCTGACCTCCACAGGCACAAACGCACACACACACATGTACCAGTGCACCCATACTCATACACACACATGCATGCACACACACAGTAAACTGTAGCACCTCAGCCAGCCCAGCAGACATAGTGGTGCATGATGGTAACCCACCATTCAGGGGAGTGGGCAGGAAGATGGTAAGTTTGAGGCCAGCCTGGGCTACATAGATAGACCCTGTCTCCAAACATACAAACTAACAATAAATGAAATACAGCTACTCAGGAGGCTGAGGCAGGAGGATAGAAAGTTCAAGGTCAATTTGGGTAACTTGAGATCTTACCTAAAATTTTTAAAAAGTAAAAAGAGACTTGGATCCAGTTCAGTGGTAAACACTTACCTAGCCTCAGATGACTGTCTGCTCTGTCATTTCCTCAAAGACAGGAGGATCTGACACTTCTGATTTCCATGGGCACCTACACTAGGTGGTCCTGGCTCTGTCATTCTTGGTAGAGTAATCACGGACATGTCTCTTAACCTCTAGAAGCCTCAGCAATTTCACCCACATGTGGGGATAACAGTATAGAGTACATTTCTGTCTCCATGGCAGGTTCACTGTCTGATTTGTGTCTCACAATGAATAGGCAAGGTAAGGTAGGAATCCTTTTATAAGTCCCATTCGATCCATAATGGAAAATATTTCCTGAAAGTGGAGCTGTCTTGGTCATGCACATGGCTAGATGCAGAATGGAGGGCTAGCGCCAGTCCCCAGGTTCTAAGCCTCACCCCTTCCACCACTCCTTCCATCTGCCATTCCTGAAGAGAAGCAAAGGCTGCTGGGCTGGACATACAGGAGGATTGGTGTGTGCCCTGCTATCTCCATTAACATCTGGGTCACCTTGAGTAAGTTCTTTAACCTCTTTAGGCCTCTATTTCCTCAATTATAAGATGAAAATAGGGACTGGAGAGATGGCTCAGTGGTAACAGCACATACTGCTCTTACAGAGGATCTGAATTCAGTTCCCAACACCCACAGCAGGCAGCTCCCAACTGCCTATAACTCTAGCTGCAGAGAAATCCTACATCTCTGGCCTCCACAACCACCTGCACTCACATGCATGTGCCCACACACAGACATACACATACACAAAAACAATAAAAAAAAAAAAATCCAGGAAAAAAATGTTTTGTTTTGGTTTGGTTTTTTTTTTGGTTTTTTTTTTGGGGGGGGTGGTCTTTTTGAGACAGGGTCTCCCTGTAGCCCCAGCTGTCCTGGAACTCACTATGTAGACCAGGATGGCCTTGAACTCACAGAGATCTGCCTGCCTCTGCCTCCCAAGTGCTGGGATTAAAGGCGTGTGCCACCAGGCCCGGTGAAAAAAATGTTTTAAAAAGATGAAAATAGTTTGTAGTTGAGAGTTCTGGGCAAGACTGAACATAAAATTCCCAGATTAGGGCCCACCACATAGATCAGCCTGCCTCCACCTCAAGTGCTGGGATTAAAGGCCTATGCCACCACACCAGGCTTGGGTGACATCTTAATGGTCTCATCTATTAAATGCAGAGCAAACAGTGCTTGCACACACTTTTGGGGTAGCTCATGAGCATCAAGGTCTTAGAGCTGTAGGAGGTTTACAGCCTTCCAGAAGGTGAAAACTGGCCTTTGTCCCCCCCTGCCATGAAGACAGGGACACTTTCTGGGGTTTTAGGAGGCTACATGGCTCATGGTTGCTGAGCTCTCCCTTGCTCACCACACCCAGCAGCCACCAAGCTTCTGGACCTCCTGAGGTCTCCAGCTCCAGCCTAGGAAGAACAGAGGCATGGGGTGGACCCCTCCCATGCCAGGGTCTCCATACACCATATTGGCTGCCTCAGCAGCTTCTTGGCCACCCCAGGTCTATTTTTAAAGCAATTTGTCTGTGGCCCTTTGCAGGGGCAGCTTCCCGGAGCAAACGCTTGGCCCTGTAATTTGGGAAGACTGTGGATGTTCCTAGACCTGGGACCGGCTGTGGCCCAGGGCTGGGGCTCTCAGGCTCCCAGCAGGGAGGGACTTGGGCTCTGAGGTGAGATCAGGTAGGCACTGACCCCTCTCCTCACTCATGGGGCTGGGGACAGAGTCCCACACAGCCCCTCCCCTGCAAGCTGGCTTCCCAACCCCTGCCTTACTGCTGCTTCTTGACTGGGCTGGCTTGGGATGGAGGACCCCCATCAGTCAGCAGAAGAAAACTAAGGCTTGACAGCTGTGTGCCCAGATGAAGCCAGAAGATCCACTAGACAGCAGGAGGTGGACTTTGCTCAGGGGAATCCCAAACATCCACCTTACTGCCAAAAAGCCTTAAGCCTGGGTCCTGTGGATTTCTTTTCTTTTTTTCGGGGCGGGGGGTGGGTGGCAAGGGATTTGAGGCAAGGTCTCACTATGCAGCCCTGGCTGGTCTGGAACTTGCCATGTAGACCAGGCTGGCCTTGAACTCACAGAGAGGCCTGCAGGGATTCCTCTTTTGAACTTTGTTTCTAATGCCAAGTGCAATGGCTTAGCATGCGTGGAGCCCTCGGTTCCATTCCCGGCATTGCATAAACAGTGCAACTGGGCATAGCTACACACACCTGTAATCCCAGCACTTGGGAGATAGAGGCAGGAGTATCAGGGGTTCAAGGCCATCCTTGGCTACATATCCAGTTTGAGGCCACACTGGGATACCTGAGACATTGTATAAAAACAAACAAACAAAACAAAAGAAAAAGAAAAAAAAAAAACACCTTTTCCTCCCCTTCTGCCTTTATTCAGGCCTTGACTTCACTCTCCTGGTGCAATAGCCTCCTGTGTGTCCTGCTCCATCTTGCTAGAGCTTGGTCTAGTCTTCATTTAGATTTTTTTTTTCAGATGCAGCCTACATGTTTATTGTTTTTACATAATTGAGCTTCACAATTCATATTCAAATCTAAAAGTGATGAGACTGAGCATCTCTTGAGGAGGCTTCAATCTTAATCTGGGTGAATACACAGAGGTCTTCATGCAACTCTGGGAACTAAGACAGCAGAGCAGAGGGTGTCTTCTAACACCACAGTCCTCAGCCATCCACTCCTCTGGCCACATTCTACATCTTACCACTTCCAGAAATTGAAACCATCAAAAGTTTTTTTAATTATTTATTTATTATTACTATTGTGTGTGTGTAGGATGCAGGAAAGTGCACATGTACCACAGATCTTGTGTGGAGGTCACAGGACATCTCTATGAAATCTGTTCCCTCTTTCCAACTTATGTAGGTTCCAGGGATCAAACTCAGATTGTCACACTTCACCCACTGAATCATTTCGCAGCTGTGAATTCTTTTCTTTCAAACGTTTTCAAGCATGACTGAAACCTTTGGCTCACAGCTCAGATACCTCTGCTCTCAGAAGTCTCTGATTTTCATTCATTAGAACAGGGGCTCCATTTAAAAGGCATCAGTCAGTCATGTGTGGCACATGCCTTTAATTTCAGCACTCAGGAGACAGAGACAGGAGGATCTCTGTGATATCAAGGCCAGCCTAGTCTACATAGCAAGTTCCAGGCCAGCTACAACTACAGGAAGACACTGTAGTCACAAAAACAAAAAGGCAGACAGAAAGGGTGGAGCCAAGCAGCTCACACATTGGTGTCTAAAAGCAGTTGAAAGGGCAAGAGTTATGCTTTTAATTTTTTATTTATTTTTAATATATATGAGTGTTTTCCTGCATATATGTAAGTACACCATGCATGCAATGCCGTGGAGGCCAGATGAGGGCATCAGACCCCCTGGAACTGAAATTATGGACAGTTGTTAGTCCCCATGTGGATGCTGGGAACTGAACTCGGGTCCTCTGCCAGAGCAGCCAGTGCGCTTAACTGCTGAACCATCGCTCCAGCCCCCAGAAATATGTATTGTTTTGTTTTTAAGTTATAAACCCAGCATGTTCTGTGGCTTCCCTTCACCTTAGGATAAAGTTACAGCTCCAGGCCCAGCAGCCAGGTCACCAATACTGACCTCACTGACTCTAGCATCCCTGACCCCAGTGTTCCAACTCTTCTGAGCTGCTATGGCTCTCACTAGCTCCCCAGCAACTGGCACAGGGCAAATGTTTACTCAGTAACAATAATTGTATTAACACTAGCTACCTCTTACTGAACATTCATTTCTCACCAGGCACTGTGCTGTGTGTCCACACTTGTTATACTATTAATCTTCGGAACCTCCCTATTAGATCTGTCCTGTTTCTTTCCTTTTTTCCTTTTTCTTTTATGTGTATAAGTTTGTATGTGTTTATGTGTGTACACATTTGTCCTAGTGCATGTAGAGGCCAGAAAAAGACATTGGGTGACTTCCTCAATCACTTTCTTTCTTTTTCTTTTTTGGTCTTTTTGAGACAGGGTCTCCCTGTAGCCCCAGCTGTCCTGGAACTCACTATGTAGACCAGGCTGGCCTTGAACTCACAGAAATCCCCCTGCCTCTGCCTCCTGAGTGCTGGGATTAAAGTCATGAGCCACCACGCCCAGCTACTCTCTCTCTTATTTTATTGTTATTTTTATTTTATGTGTATGAGTGTTTTGTTTGCATGTAAGTGCACCCATGTATGCAATGCCCACAGAGGCCAGAAGAGGACATCGAATCCCCTGGAACTGGAGTTACAATGATTTTTCACTGCCATGTGGGTGCTTAGAGCAAACCCAAGTCTTTTGCAAGAGAAGGCAGTGCTCTTAACCATTGAGTCATCTCTCTAGCCCCCATACACCCTATCTTTTGAGACAGAGTCTCTCCCGGAACCTGTTGCTCCTGATTGGCTACACTGGCTGGTCAGTAAGATCTAGGGATGCTCTGTTGTCCACCTCCTAGTCATCGCTGGGGTCACAGGTGTATGTTGCTGCTTCCAGCTTTTTAAATGGTGCCGGGCGGGGTTCCAAACTCAGGTCTTCATTATCGTACAGTGTCACCCGAATTCTCTTAGAATCCCTTGCTCCTGGCGCTATTAGACAAACCATATAACACATCTTTACCTACATTTTTCATAGTTTATATCCTGGGTAAAGGAAATATAGTAACTTACAAAAGCGAACACCCCCTGAACCATACAGCTCTGTGGCTCTTCGGCAAGGCTTCCTAGCCAGCCCACAGTCTCCGTTAGCTCCTTTAGCTTCCAGTCTCGCCCCAGGTCGGTAAATGCCCCCTCTCACTCCATGCGGGTGTACCCGAGCCGTTTCCGTGGCCCCCCTCTCACGCCCCCCGCCCCCCTCGCCCCCCTACATCCCTCCCGACCTCTGCCAAGATCCCACCAATGCTCCTCCCTCTGTGGCTAACTCTCTGCAGCCAACTCTCCACAGCAGGCCCCACCCCTCGGAAGAACAAGTACCCCTTTGGACACACACAGCAAGCACTATCTCCCCATCTATCTTCCCAGCCCTGCTTTCCTTCTTTCAAAGATGAGGAAGCTGAGGCTCAAAGAGAATAGGCAACTTGCCTAAGGTCACACAGCAGGTCAATAGGGGTCCAGGTACAGCGTCCAGGCCTGTTCTGTGAGTGGCTCAATACAGAAAATGATCTCACCTCTTTTGGCTCCAGCCCACCCCCTCTCATCTCACAAGGGCACCCACTTTTTCTGTTTGCCTCCATGTGGGGCACTCTAACATCCCTCCGCAGTCCAGAACAGCCACCAATGGGCAGAAGTGGGCTGAACTCTCAGTTCTGGAAGCCCCCTGAGCTTAGGTTCTTCCTCCTTCCCCCAGACGTGGAACATGGAGCATGGGCACTGGGACACAAACTATGCTCCATCATGGTGAAGCAGGAGCAGAGCTCAGAGCTTCCCGTCGACCCTCTGGCTGCCTCCTCTGCCATGGCTGCCTCTGCCATAGCCACTCCACCACTGCTGGGCCTCAGCCCCCTCTCCAGACTGCCTATACCCCACCAGGTGAGTCTGGGGACTAGTGACAGGGGCTGAGGAAAGGAGAAGGGCTAGGGGAGGCTGGGAGGAGTGATACCCAAAGCCTGGGCTCCACCCCAGGAGTCCATGAACAGGGAACAATGCAAGCCTTGCCTCCAGAACTGAGGGTCCTCTGCTACCTCCCCACACTGATCACCTCTTCGTTGTCCTCCAATGAGCACAAGCTGCAGCATCTTCCAAGGATGCTGAGTCCTCCCTGTGTGCAAGAAAGCTTGCAGGGCACCAGACAGGATTGAGCATTAGTTGCCTAGTCAAGGGACTCAGAAAGGGAAACACCCCAGGATACTTCATTTTCTAGAAACTTTAGGATTTGAAGAAAGGCAAACATACAGATATAAAAATGGTGCTCTATTTCATCTGTCTGTGTTTAAGAGATTAATAAACCACACTCTATGCCAATGCCACCTCCATTTCCTTGAATGTATAGATAACAGCTATAAACCCCGGAATGTAAGACCCAGACCACTGACTCCCCGGAGAGGCCCTGCTGGGTCCAGCTTGGTCCCTAACTGTGCTCCAGGAGCTTTGCCCTCTCCCTTTCTTCTTCCACTGCTTTCTCTGTAAAATGGGTGCATGAGTCCCCACCCCTTGAGGCCTAAGATTCTACAGTAGAAGACCAATTAAATCCCTAACACATGGTTTGGCTGACTCTCCCTTCTACCAGCCACCTGGCTCACCTGTTCAAAGGGTAAGTGGCCACACAGGCAAGAAAGGTCAACCCCTCCCTGCCTCTAAGTTTCAAGAGCTGTCAGGAAATAAGGCATGATCTTCTGAGACCTGCTCCAGAATTTGCTTGGCCAAAACTGGAAAGGAAGGAGTGAGAGCAGCATAGGTGAAGTTGAGCCCCAAATCAGCTGCTTTTCATACTCTGCCTGCCAGACCCCAGAGCCCACACTTCCCACTCTAGCCAGCACAGGGCACAGGAGCCAGGAGCTAGCACTGACCATACTGAGCCAGGTGAACCATCCAAGTGCTGCCACTCCTCTACATCACAGTCCCTTTGTGTCTTTTCAGCTGGAGCACTGGGGCTGAGCTGAATATAGACCAGGAATTGCCAAAATTCTGACCAATTTGCACTTCCCTGAGTCCCACTTACTGTGTCATGCCCTCTGCTGGCAGCAGACCCAGAGGGGAGCACCCAATACCATGCCTTCCTCATAGAGACTACCACTTACATGCATATTGGTAGAGTCACATGTACAAAGTCACATGAGTTCCTGAAGCCCTTTCTAGAACAATACATTGGGCTGTAAATAAACAGAAAATTCTATCTGTTAAGAATGTCCATCTGATTGCATTGGTGTCTAGCTGAAATCCCACCAAAGGCTCTCACAGCTTCAAGCTTCCTCATGTGGACTCTACTCCTACTTTTATTCCAGGATCCATGTCATAGTTCAACTTTGGCAGCCTCCTCTGAGGCTTTAGCCAATTAAGTCCTCCTGTACTATTGTTCCCTTTCATGGAACAGTTACAGTGGGTCTGACATTACCTCCCATCCTCATGGCAACCACATACCAAGGGCTACATGGCTTTCACAGTCAGTGAAGTATCAGCCTCCACCAGGAAAGGTGGCCTGACCCTGGAAGCCAAAGGAACTCTGCCTGAGATTAAGCTCTGACCTACACTGTGTGGCCACTGTTTTCTTCTCTTAGGTGTAGTGTGGCTTTTCCAAACATGAGAACTTGCCTCTGTTCTCTCTGGGCTGAGTCCAGAACTCCAAGGCCAGCCACTCCCCTGATTGGGCAGGATATATGCCAGCCTGGGGAGGGAGGAGGCGTGAACAACATGGTGAAGACATCCCAGGGGCAGGTGATGGAGCTGAACTTGTCTCTTTCTCAGGCCCCAGGAGAGATGACTCAGCTGCCAGTGATCAAAGCAGAGCCCCAGGAAGTGAACCAGTTCCTCAAAATGACATCAGGTAAGTGTGTACAAGGGAGGGACTCTTCCCTTCCAGTCTTGGGTAACCAGTATCTTATTCCCTTTGTCCAGATCACTCCTATTTCTCAAAACTCCCACTTCTTCCCCCAAATATTCTCTCCTTTTCAACCTCTCCACTCTATCCATCTGTACCCCCCTTTTCTTTCCATTCCTCCCTTACTCAGTCTTCAGTTGCCATCACTCTACCAACATCTTTTCACTCCATTGCTGATCCTCCTTCAATACACTCGCTAACTGAAATCCACTTTATAGTCAGCAGTCATCTTCCCATCCATCCATCCCCTACTCAACCATCCATTCATCCATCTATCCACCATTCCACCCATCTGTCCATCCATCTACCCATGTATCCACCTACTCATCCACCCATCTACCCATCTATCCATCCACCCATCTACCCATTTACCCATCCATCCACCTATGTGCCCATTCATCTACCCACACATCCATCCACCTATCACCCGTGCATTCATTCATCCACCCATTCATCTGTCCATCAATCCACTCATTTATCTATCTACCCACCCATCCATTTACCATCCATCTTCCCATCTATCCATCCACTTACCTACCCATCCATCTACCACTGATCCATCCATCCACCCAACTAACCATTTATTCATTCACCCACCTGTCCACTCATCTATCTATCCATCCACTCATCCATCCACTCACCTACACATCCATACACACAGTCAACCATCTGTCCACTCATCCATCCATCATCCATCCAACAAGAGTTCGCTGGGCACCATCTTAATAGTCCCAAGTACTGTGAAAACAGAGAGAGAAAGCAACCCCTGCACCCAAGGTTCCCAAAGTCACAGGGTTCCCAAAGTCACAAACTACCAACTACTCAGCAGTGACATGGGTGTGCAGATGGTAAATCCACAGGGAACTTTTACAGCTCATCCCCAGACCAGATGGGGAAAAGGGGACATAGGCAGCCTCTGGGAGTTACCAGAAGAAAGGGAAACAACCATTAATTTATCAAAAACTTATTCATCATCTAGTATGTGTACATCAGGCACTGGGCTAAGTACAAGACTGGAAATATGCATAAGGTATCATAGATGCTCACACATTGGAGAAAAGCCAGAATACAGATGTTAAAATACCTTACTTTGTAGTGTGCAAGTTCTAAAGCATTTTCCATGCATATTGGTCCACTGTATCCTCATGACTTGGAGCAGAGTCATTTCAACTATTCAGTAGATAAGGGAGATGAAGCTGGGAGAGGTTAGTAAACATCACTAAGGTCACATGTTCCAGAGACAGGACAGTCAGATTCCAAGTCCAGCACTCTCTGCAGAGTGGTGTCCATAAGAGTCAAGTGTTGGAGGAAGGCGAGAGGACTACTGCAGGAGCCAACCTGTGCCAAGCCCTGAGGATGCAGCCCTGTCCCTGTACTTCACAGTCATGGAGCCCCGGTTTCCACACTTGGAGCTACCTGAGCATTCTGTGCCATCCCCAGAGCTGCTCAACATCTACGCTCGAGGCTGAGCCTCTCAGTCACCTCTTTCTGACACTTGCAGAGTGTCAATCTTCCTAGTGTTAGGGCCACAGAGGGAACATGGAGGAGAAGTCTTGATCCTTGCTGCTCTGCTGAAATCCCAACACCTGCCATCCTATTACCCTGAAATTGAATCAATGTTTTGGAAGCAAAGAAAGGAAAAGGAAAGATATTGTTTGGTCAGCCTGAGCCCCATAGGTCTGGTTTGAGACCCTAGTCACCTCTGGGTTTATAGAAGTAAAGCAGGATACTTGTACAGGATCCTGAATCCTTCAGAGCCAAGGGTGGAGGACTTGAGCTGGGGTCTTTTAAAAAAGGGAGATTTCTGCTTCCTGCAGAAGGTGGGAAGATGTATTTTTTTTAAAGTTGGGTGGGGGGAAGTGGGAGAGCGGGACTGTTAAAACATGTCCTCTTTAGAGATCAAAGGGGAAGCCTGCTGTGTTGGCCAAACAGTGGAGAAAAATCTGCTTCTCTTGATTTCAAAGACCAAGGAGCATGAGAAGTCCCTTTTCTCAGGAGCATGAGAAGTCCTTGGGATCCTGTTGGTGAGGGGGCAGGGCTATCTGAACCTTAACACTGTGCAGGCTGGGGATCCACATCAAGGTTGCAGGGAGCTGTGAGAGGCAAGCGGTGCTCAGGAATCATCTTCTGGGGTGTCAGCTGTCTTTCTAACTCTACAAAGGGCCTTCTGATGTTCCAGCTGAGGTCAAGGACCTGGCAGCCCACTTCCTTCAATATCACAGCTGATTGAACTCATGATGTCAGAGCAGAGCTGGGGGCATCCCTACTAACCTTCTTTCCTCATTCTTCCCAGAGGATCTGGTACAGATGCCTCCAACACCCCCCAGCAGTCATGGCAGCGACAGCGACGGCTCCCAGAGTCCCCACTCTCTGCCTCCCTCCAGCCCTGTCCGGCCCATGGCCCGCGCCTCCACAGCCATCTCCACCTCTCCGCTCCTCACTGCCCCTCATGTAAGGAACTGGGGGTGACTGATCCTGAAGGCAAGGAATTGAGTAGGTCCAACCAATGTCCTGACCAGTACAGAGGGACAGGGAGCCCCAAGTCTAATACTTTATCAGACTTCAGTGAGGTGCCTGTCTGGCAGGTGGGAGGAAGACATTTTTAATCCTGCCTCCTGATGAATGGAAATCTAAGTTAGAGAGACAAGGCCCAAGAGGGCCCTGAAACCACATTGCTGTGGAGCCAGGATGACCATCTTGAGCTCCAGTGGTGTGACCTATGCTGCCTTCAAAAAGCACTTTTCACAGGCAACAAAGAGCAGACCCTGGATGCTGGGTGGGTGTGGAGTCTCCAAAATGGAGATTGTGGGGAGGAGCCTAAGGGAGTGCTGTTTAGGAGGGCAGGGAAGATTTGAGGCTGTGGATCTGGGGTGGGATGAGGGAGGGAGGATCCCAGTCCCATTCTAGCACTTGATGCATGTACAGGATTTAACTCAGATCCTTCCCCTTTTCCAAGGGGAAACAGGCTCAGAGAGTTGAGTATACTATACAAATAGTCTATGGTAGAATTTGCATTTGAACCCAGAAATGAATGGTTCCTTCAGAAACTACAGGGGACATCTGGGCCACTGCTCCTGACAGAAGAGGAGAAGCGAACCCTGATTGCAGAGGGGTACCCCATCCCCACCAAACTCCCCCTCACTAAAGCCGAGGAGAAGGCCTTGAAGAGGGTGCGCAGAAAAATCAAGAACAAGGTAAAGTGGGAGCCACCCCCACTCTACCCTGTGGTACCTGGGGACCTTTCTACTGGAGATGGCCTCTCTTTCCCTGGTAATGTCAGCTCCAAAATTGGGGGCTGCCCAGGAAGTGGATACATGGAAATGGTAACCCCTGTTTTGTGACCTCTCCCTCAAGATCTCAGCCCAGGAGAGCCGCCGTAAGAAGAAGGAATATGTGGAGTGTCTAGAAAAGAAGTAAGAGCTCCAGAAGGGGTGGCCAGGGCCCCACTCCCAAGCCTGGAGTGCTGTCCATGGCCAGAGGCCTGGCTGAAGGCAGTTGGGTGGGGTAATGATGGGCAGGGGCTGCAGGGTAAGTGAGTTGGGAGGGTATGCCCCGAGCCTGTGCCTGTTTGGCCACTCCAGGGTGGAGACATATACATCAGAGAACAATGAGCTGTGGAAGAAGGTGGAGACCCTGGAGAATGCCAACAGGTGAGTGGTATCCCCAGCATCCCACCTGTCCCACTGCAGCCAATGCCTAGCTCTGGGAGGTGGGAGAGAGGAGAGATAACCCAGTTAGGGTGATACCCCCAAAATGAACTCTTTACTTGCACATAACTCTAGATACCTGTTAGGGCTGGTGAGATGCTCAAGTAAGATTATTCAAGGCAGAAACTTTCTAGTTTGTTTCTTAGCACCACAACATCAGCATCTACTCTCAACTTGTTACAAATGTTTATTCTCAGGCCCTGAGCTGGGTCTACTGAATCAGACACTCAAGAGGTAGGGCCCCACAATCTGTGTGGATTTGGTTTGGTTTGGTTTTGAGACACTCTCATGTAGCCCAGGCTGGCCTGCAACTCAATAAGTAACTGAGGACAACCTTGAACTCCTGATCCCCCTGTCTCTGACTCCCAAGTGCTGCGATTACAGGTGTGCACCTGTAATTACAGGTGTTCCTGGATGCAATCAGGAGAGAACCACTGGCCTTGATCCTTGCTATTCAAGGAGGAGTGGCCTGGGAACTTGTAAGAAATGCAAAATTTCAGGACTCTCCTCAGACTTGCTGGGCCATAATCTGCAGTGTGTGCATGCTAAGCAAATGCTCTACCATTGTGCTATACTCTCTTGTTTTCTTTTGAATTTTTTGCCTATTCATATTTTTAAAAGTTTTTCTTTTTTTTAATGTGTATGAGTGTATTGCCTGCATGTATGTGAGTACACCCATGTCGTGCAATGCCGTGGAGGTCAGAAGAGGGCTGCTGATTCCCCTGAAACTGGAGTTAAGGACAGTTGGTAGCCAGCATGTGGGTGCTGGGAATTGAACCCGGGTCCTCTGCAAGAGCAGTCAGTGCTCTTAACAGCTGAGCCATCTCTCCAGTCCTTAAAAAGGTTTTCTTAAATTACATTTGTTTATTTATTGGGGAGGGGTGCACATCATGGCCCATTGTGGAGGTTAGTAGACAGCTTTTGGGAGTTCTCTCCTCCCACCATGTGGTTCCTGAAGATAAAACTCGGGTCAGGGCTCCGAGGCAAGTGCCTTCACTCTCTGAGCCATCTCGCCAGTCCCTGTGTACTATTTGAATAATAATTTATGTAACTCAGGCTGGCCTCAGACTCACTATGTCCCTGAGGCAGGTCTTGAACTCCTAATCCTCCGACCCAAGCCCTTATTTCTTCAAACAGTCTTGCTGTTTTGCCCAGCCTTGATCTCCTTATGTAGTAGCCCAGGCTGGCCTGGAACTTAGCATGCTTCTCTTCCTGCCTTGCGAGTGCCTGGCTTTATTTCCTCCTTTCCCTCCTTCTAATCCAGCTCTGGTGGCAGGATCCAGCCACTACCCTGGTTGGCCTAAGGAATCGCGACGCCACCCGCAGCCCCACCCCCTTCAGGGCTGGAAGAGGAGCCTTCCAACCTCATCTGCTTAACTCTTCCCCTAAGGCAGAAAGCTATTTCGCCACCTGCTGTTCACTCTGGGAACTGCATGAACCCAGCTTGGAGAAGTGCAGTGATTAAACCACTTTTCACTTCTATGTGTACCCAAAGGATTCCATGTTGGGTGAAGTCCAATCCTTACCCTTAGTGAGTCCACAACTAACAATGGAGACTGACCTGGAAATTCACGAATAGAGTTAAAATATTATAGGTGTTGTAATAATAGTAAAAAAAAGCAATAAAATTAACACAAACAATAGCACACACCAAGCACTTCCAAGTGTCCTTGTCAGCTTGGGGTGCCACGGGGTGCAAAGGAAGAAATTCACTGTGTCTGTGGTAGTGTTTCATAAGAAAAAGAAGTCCAGCCTTACCTGGGTAGAGCCAGGCCCCCTCTCTCCAGTTCCTCTTGAGTCAGGAGTATTTCAGGCCAGCCCTAAGATTCCTGTGGGGTACCCATAAAGCAGGCCACAGAGTGCCAAGCCACACTGCAGAAGAGCCAAGCATGAAGTGACCCTTTATGTCTTGATAGAAATGGGCACCTAAGCATTCAGGCCCAGTGAGGAACCAGCCTAGGTCCCCTTAAGGAGAGGCCTGAACACAGACTTGGCTGTTGTGCCTGATCCTCCCTGGTGACTACTGTGTCCTCCTCAGAACCCTGCTCCAGCAGCTGCAGAAACTCCAGACTCTGGTCACCAGCAAGATCTCCAGACCTTACAAGATGGCAGCCACTCAGACAGGCACCTGTCTCATGGTAGGTGCTGCTCCCCAGCACAGAGCCACAGGGAGACAGCTCTCTTTAAGGTTGACCCTGTAGGAGTGAGAGCAGAGTCGAGGGGGCTGGTGACCTGGCCTGGCCTGTTCTAACACCTGTGTGGGTGATGCCAGTGAAGGCCCTTGGAAAAGTGTCTTCTGCAGACCCTGCAGACTCAGGGAGGGATGGGTGTGTTTCTTTCTGGACTGGGTGATGAAGAAAAGATAAAGGAAACCCCAAAAAACCAAAAGGATGCCCAGAGTAGGCTCCAGCTGTTTGACTCTGTTCTATTAGTCACTCCCAACTGAGCACATTTTGCCTCTGAGATCCTGAGGACAGGTACTGTTTGTGCACCCCAGGACTCTTAGCTCCTCCTTCTGGCTAATCTTCCTGGGGCTTGGTCTGAGAATGTGGTGGAACGATAGGTCCCCCTTCCCAGGTCACAACTGCACTCCCACACACACTTCTTCCTTTCCTGACTTCTCCACCCCATAGGTAAGAACTACACTGACCTTTCCTTCTTCTCTCTAGCACTACCTTCTGCACCTCCTAGATGCAGAGGAGGTGGGGTTGGGTTGGGGTGACCTAGCAGCCCTCACCTGCTTCTCTGAGGGCAAGAAATCCCATTTCTAGGAGCAGTGGGCTCTGGGGCTACCCTCTTGGGAAAGCACTGAGCCTCTTGCATCCAATGGGTTGGGGTGAGGAGTGTTGGGGGTGGTCAACCTTGCAGCCCTCCCTGCCCCAGATCTGATGGCTGCCCTGTTCACTGCCAGGTGGCGGCCTTGTGCTTTGTTCTGGTGCTGGGCTCCCTGGTGCCCTGCCTTCCTGAATTCTCCTCCAGCTCCAAGGCTGTGAAGGAAGACCCTATCACAGCCGACAGTGTCTACACAGCCAGTCAGAGTGAGTACCTCTCAACCTCTGGGTTTCCAGGAAGTTGGACACAGAAAGGAGCCATGTTTGGAGTTGGCACCATCTCATTCTATATCCTCATTTTGCAGAAGGGGAAACTGAGGCCCAATGAGGGTCTATGAATTACTCATTGTTAATAGCAGAATCAAGACCAGACTGCCTCTCTGGGTGGGTCTGGAGTGGCTTGGAGGAGGTGGGCATAGGCATAACAGACATGTTCCAGGTCTAACTTCCATGTATGAGGGTGGCAGTAGTTTAGGTGCATTAGCTAAGCACTGTCGGTATTTCAGTCCTGGAATAGCAAATGAATTTCAGCTCTTCAGCCATTTCTAATGTGGTGGTAGAGACTGCCTGACACAGTGTTAAGAAAGATTCTGAGGTACACAGGACCCACAGGAAGGAGACAGTCTCTGTTGGGAGCATCTACCCCTGGTAAGGGTGGTCATGGCATGGGTTCAGGTATGTGTCATCTGTGTCATCCCAGTCGGGGTCTATGAGGTGTGGGGGGTTTGGAATGTAGACCCTCAGAGTCGGTTGTGGCTGGCACTTCCATTTGCTAACTTTGTGACCTAGGCTGTGTATCTTAAGTTCTTTAACTGGGCAAGCACAGTGGCTTGTGCCTTTAATGCCAGCACTTGGGAGGCAGAGGCAAGTGAGTCTCTGTAAGATTGCAGCCAGCCTGGTCTACAAAGGGAGTTCCAGGCCAGTTGGGGCTACAGGGAGACCCTGTCTCAAAACAAAAACACAAAAGCAGTGGAGGGTACAGCAATCAGAGGCAGACACTCAGGTAGACCTGTGGAGGGACTTCTAGACCATCTTTCATATACCAGAAGCATAAATCTGACATGGCAGAAGAAAAAGAGGAAGCAGATGGGAGGCAGAGAGAGGGGAGAGCAGGGAGGAGTGAGTTTGGAGAGGGATGCTGCAGGGAGGGTGAGCAAGACCCTGAGAATCTGGCGGGAGGAAGTGAGTTGGGGAGGGCTAAAAGGAAGCCACTCCCTGGACAAGTGGGTCTGAAAAGGAGCAAGAAGGAGGGCTGTGACAGGGCTGGCAGGTCCCAGAGCCACATCCACACTCTGGTTATCCAAGGCTATCCAAGACTGGAGGAAAGGAAAGTGGGCACTGCAGAGTCGGGGCTGGTGGACAAAGACAGCGAGGGAAGACAGGGAGTGAATGAGCCCCTGGCGTGAGTGCAAGACAGGGCAGGGCAGGGCAGAAGGCATGTCTCCGGACAGAGATGGCTTGTTGAGCAGTCTGGCTTCCGGAGCTGTGACTTTGCACAATGCCAGGGGTGGCCTTTCCCATAGATTAGATCCTGCAGGGGAAGCTGGGAGGCAGGCAGCAGACCATGGAGTCAGGCAGACCTGGGTTTGTATCCTCTCTTCATGGAGGACAGTATGGGACAGCTTACCCAATTGCCTAGACCCTTGATGACCAGCTTTGGGAAACAGGGCTAAAAATAGCTTCATTCCCAATATTATACATAAGATTTAACTTGCTGTAAGCTTAAGGGCCTTATATAATGCCTGACACCTACATCCAACAAATATTCATATTCCTTCCCTTGATTTCTCTGTAGGGTGAACTAGCCTAGAAGAAAAAAAGAGACTTTTTCCAAGTCTCCCAGGAAGTGATAGTGGTAGGATTAGAAACCAGCTCTCAGCTGGTCCTAGTGATACAGGCCCGTAATCCCAGTTACTTGAAAGATTGAGGCAGGGGGATTATAAGGTTAATGCATGCCTAGGCTACAAATTTAATTTAAAACCAACCTGAGCAACTGAATGAGACCCTATCTCAGAAGAAACACGAGAGAGAGAGAGAGAGAGAGAGAGAGAGAGAGAGAGAGAGAGAGAGAGTGAGAGAGAGAGAGAGAGAGAGAGAGAGAGAGAGAGAGAGAGAAGGAGCAAGCTGGAGCCATAGGTGGTAGAGTGCTGGCCTAGCATGCATGAGGCCCTGAGTTCAATAGGGAAAAAACAAAACAAAACAAAAACAGTTGTCAGTGCCCAATCCAGTACTCTCTTGCTTAGGAAGAACTAAATTTTTCTGACCTCACTATTTTACTAAACAGTTTCAGTCATTTCCTGTGTATTACTCATTGAAACCTCACAACTACATGAGGTTGGTCCTAGTATCCTCATTTTACAAAACAACAAACCGATGCTCAACAAGGTCAAAGGAGAGAGTGTGACAGGAACATCAGGGCTAGGATCAGAGCCAGACCTGTAAGATTTCAGAGCCTGTGCTCTTCACTTCCAGGCCACGAACGAGGCTATTTGGGGAGAGGAGGACACCTGAAGGGTACCTGTAGCTCACCCTACTTTTCCTCCCCAGTGCCCTCCCGAAGCCTCCTGTTCTATGATGATGGGGCAGGCTCATGGGAAGATGGCCGAGGCACCCTGCTACCTGTGGAGCCCCCAGAAGGCTGGGAACTCAAGCCAGGGGGCCCAGCAGAGCCAAGGCCCCAGGACCACCTCCAACATGATTATCTGGATGGCACCCACGAGACCACCAAGTACTTGAGCGAGACCTGGCCAGAGGATGCTAGTGGCAATGGCACCAGCCCCAACTTCTCCCACCCCAAGGAGTGGTTTCATGACAGGTGTGTAGCAGGGTAGTCCCTTCCTTTCCAGAGTCCCAGGCAGCACCCACCCTCAGGCACATCCTCCAAAAGCCCCCATCCCTTCCTCCCAGCCAATTCATCCCTGGACCTCTTCTCTCTTCAGGGATCTGGGCCCCAACACCACCATCAAACTCTCCTAGGCCTCTCCGAGACCCAGGACACAGGACGGACCCCCCTGGAACCCAGAAGAGGCATTCTCTTGTTCACTGACCCGGATGCAGCTCACACTCCTGCCCTGGGCCGCTCCCCCCGCCCCCTGCTCCAGGAGAAGGGGTCCCACTTCTCCCCATCCCTCCCCACCTCTGTTGTGGCTGGGACTCCCTCCATGCCCCCAGACATTTGGACTGGTCCCCTGGGCCTACTGCTCTATTCTCAATTCTCTCTCCCACAACCATCCGTCCTTCTCAGATAAACCACTCACTGGGCCGCTCCCTCTACTTCTCCCATAATGACCAATACAACCACTGTCCTCTGGCCCCCCATACACACACATGCACACATGCATACATGAGCAAACATCCCCACCTCCACTGTACAGAGACCAAGAACAGAAATTGTTTGTAAATAATGAACCTTATTTTTTATTATTGCCAATCCCCTAAGATATTGTATTTTACAAATCTCCCTCCTCCCATCACCCCTCCCTTGTTTTATATTTTATGAAGTTAGTGCGGGCTTTACTGCCCCTTGGCCAGGGACAGAGGGGCTCCCCACCCTCACCTGGCTTCCCCCTGCCGCTGCCCAAGCTGCTGGGCCTTTTTAATTGCCAAACTGCTCACTCCACCAGCTCAGCTCATGCTTTAAGAAAGCAAAATTTAAAAAAAAAAAAAAAAAAAAAGAAAAAAGTTCCAGCTTTATTTCCTCCTTTTGTTCCTTCTTGGGGGGGGGGGGGGGGGGGTGATGGGGTAGAAGTGAAAGAGGCAAGTTTATTTTATATTCTGGTGATGGACAGGAAGGGGGAGGTGTGCTTAGAGGGCCTTTCTCAGGCAACTTTTGTCCAGTCAGGTCCAGTCAGTGACCAAATTCAGACTGGACAGCCAAAGAATTGTGCTGTAATTCTCCCATCTCAGGGCTGCTCCAAGTATCTACTATGGAAGCAGAGTCATGTAAGCCACCGCCTTGGCCTTTGGAGATGGTACTGATGAGGCCAGGCACAATGACGGGCACTTCATGTTCTGGATCTTACTGGGTCCTTCCTAAGAACTTCCTAGTTCTTGACTCTTGTGCCTCATTAAATCAAAGGCACAGACTTCAGGGTGTAGTGGCACACATCTGTGGTCCCAGTAAGTCAGGAGAGGAAGGCAGTAGGATCATCTGAACTCAGGAATTTGAGATTGTTCTGGGTAATGTAGTAAGACATTACCCATCTCAAAGGACTGGAGAAATGGCTAAGCAGTTAAAAGCACTGAAAGCTCCAGTTTCAGGAGCTCCAATGCCCTCTTCTGGCTTCTTCAAGTACCAGGCACACACATGGTGCCCAAACATATTTGTAGGCAAACACTCATACACATAAAAATAATTTTTTTTTTTTTGTCTTTTTGAGACAGGATCTCCCTGTAGCCCCAGCTGGCCTGGAACTCACTTTGTAGACCAGGGTAGCCTTGAACTCACAGAGATCCGCCTGCCTCTGCCTCCCAAGTGCTGGAATTACAGTCATGCATCACCTCACCTGGCTCAAAATAAAATATTTTTTAAAGACACCAATTCAAAAAAGTTTAAAGGGAGGTAGAGGAGGAATTTTTTAAATGTTTATGTTTTTTATTTTATGTGTATGAGTGTTTTGCCTCCATGTATGTAAGTGCACCATATGCATGCAAAGCCTGAAGAAGCCAGAAGAGGGCATTGGATCATCTGGGACTGGAATTAAGGAAGGGTTTTAGCCATGAGGGTGCTGGGAACTGAACTGGGGAAGAGAGGGAAGACGAGGAGGAAGCAGAGTTGAAGAGGTTGAGAGAGTTTGGGGGAAATGGGAAGGGGAACTGAAGAGACTGCCCAGAAACTGATAGAGAAGACAGCCTTGGGGCAGGGTGGCCAGAGTGTCAGATGCTATGGAGAAGACTACTTGAGGTCACCAGTACCCTTGGGAGGAACCCTGTAGAGGTGGGGTAGTAGTGAGCCAGAGCAGGTGGAGGTGGGGAATAGGAGGGAGGGAAGATGGGGGATAGACAAGGAACAGAAGGCAGCCCTCAGAGAGTCAAGAGCAGATTGGACTGTTTTTTCAGATAAGAGAGCACTGACCATGGTTATTTCTAGAAGACAAAGGGACAATGGAAGGAAGATTGAGGGTGCCACCAAGAGAGAAAAGAGTGGGGGATGGGATCCAGGAAGCCAGGGGAGGGGTCTGTTTGGACCAGAGGCCTAGGCTAGAAGGAGAGGACCTTCTGTGAGTGTAGAAGGAGGGGAGGAAATTGAAGGAGCTCCCCAATAACTGTAAGGCTCCCGTCAAAGCAACAGGAAGGATTGGCATGAGAGTTGAATTGAGGAGAAAGGGACAATTACAGTCACTTAGAGTAAGGGAGCCCTTGTCCTGCGCATGACTGTGCTAACAGAGGAGCCCAGACAAGTCACAGCTCTCGAGAGCAAAGGACCAAAATCCAGCCTTCTCTCATTCCTCACTAACTTCCCTGTGTAGTCACTGGACTGAGACCTTGGTATATACCAATTAGAAACTACAACAGTCCTAAGGTAAGGGGTGAGATATCTCTCTCTCTCTCTCTCTCTCTCTCTCTCTCTCTCTCTCTCTCTCTCTCTCCAGTGCTGGGACTAGAACCTGGGGCTTTGAACTTGTTATTGCTAGGCAGGTGCTCAACCACTGAACTACATCCCACCCCCCAGAAGGAGGTATAGTCTTTTGTTTTTGTTTTTGTTTTTTTTTAATTTTATGTGTAAGAGTATTATGCCTGCATGTAGGTAAGTGCACCCATATCGTGCAATGCCCTCGGAGGACAGAAGAGGCTGTCAGATCCCCTAGAATTGGAGTTACAGACAGTTGTTAGCTGCCATGTGGGTGCTGGGATTCAAACCCGGGTCTTCTGCAAGAACAACCAGTGTTCTTAACTGCTGAGCCATCTCTCCAGCCCCAGGGTATAGTCTTAAAGATGAAGAAACGAGCAGGGCATGGTGGTGCACACCTTTAATCCCAGCATTTGGGAGGCAGAGACAGGAGGATCTCTGTGAGTTCAAGGCCAGCCTGGTCTACATAGTGAGTTCTAGGACAGCTGGGGTTACAGGGAGACCCTGTCTCAAAAGACAAAATAAATAAATAAAATAAAAAATAACATAGATAAAGAAACCAAGGTACAAAGAGGCAAAAATCACCAGACTGAATCATTCAATCAGCCAAGTCCAAAGCTGTTATCTGAACACGGTTCTAGGGGGCTTCACCCCAGCTCCCAGCGCCCCTTCCCTCCCTTCTGGTGTGGCTTCTTTCTCCGGCCACACAAGAGTTATGAGGGTTTACTGAAGCCCACAGCTGACAAGTGGTCACCTGAGGTCACCTCCCTAGGCAGATTCATTCAAGGCTGCCTTCCTAGCCTGTGTTGAGATGCAGGGTTAGTTCCCTCCTTTTAGACCACTTACAGAAACAATGCTTCCTCAGGTCCTGTGTCCCTGGCCTGAGCCTCTGTTGTCAGCTGGGATAGCCTGCTTTGCCACAGCCCTGTGAAAGCTTTTACCATACCAGTAATCCTGCTCTGATTGTCACACAAATCCTTTGTTATAGCCTGAAAGGAAAGCTCTGGAAACAGAATAGCTGTGGGCAATACCCAGAGTGGAGATGGGCCAGGCAAGGCTCTAATCCCAGGAGGACTGGACCATCCCAGGAGCCATCTAACCAAAATGGGTCTCTGTCTGATACAGGCAAAGTTGCCCTGTGGTTTCCCTGAAAGTGAAGGAGACACGCTGGACACTTAGCTCCAAATGAGCCTGAGTTGCTTGGTCATCAGAGTGGCTAAGTGAATGGGCTCTGAGGTATACTAAAGTGCATAGTCTCCCTAAACTACTTAATCTCTCTAAGTCCCAGTAAACTCATCTGTACAATGAATGGTACCCACCCTCATAAATTTGCTTGAGAGGTCAATGAAAGCTTGCTGGTAAAGCTGTTAGCACCAGACCCGTTATAAAGTGGACTTTAGCAATTTATTTATTCTCCAAGTGCAGCAGTAATGGATGAACTGGCAATCAGAGGAGTGGGCTGTAACTGCAAGAAGCTGCAGAAAGTGGGGAGGCTGTTCCAGGGAGAAAGCTTCATTTTTCCCTTTTTGGGAAGGAGGCCAAATCATAGCTAAAAGATAATGCAGCCAGCAGCTGGCCCCTAAGCAGGGAGGTGTGAGGACAGCGGAATGAAGCTTCACATTTAAAAAAAGGCTGTGTCTGGAGAGCTCTGCAGGAAAGAACTAAACAAAAATCCAACCTGGGAACCCAGCAGCCAGGCAGCTGGTGAGTGAATGTCAAACCCAGCCAATATTACCATAATTTATGGTGTAGGAGGCTACCCTGGGCCAGGCTGCTTGGAAATCAGGGCCAAGAATCCTGGATGGCCAGTCCCAAGGGCAGCTGTGGTACAGGGTGGGGCCCCTCACTTCCAGCAGCTTTAAGGACAGAGCTTGTCTGGCTATGGCCAAGGAGGTTTAATCCAATTCTGTTCATCCAAAAGGAGTTTGCTGGACCAGAGAGATATGGGGAGCAGAAAGATAGCAAACCTTTGGGTGTTTGCAGAGTAAAGCAAGCGAGAGCTGCCACAGCTGCCATTTGTGTCTGGCAGCACAGCAGAGGGAAAAGGACATGAGTTCTGGTACCAGAAGGCCTGGTTTTAAATTCCAACCCCACCACTCACCACTTGAGATATCTTGAGCAAATAAATAATTGAATACCATTTCCAAGTCCTCCTCTGCAGCATGGAGGAAGAGATGACATTTGCCACCCAGGGGTGTGGTTAGGGACAAATGAGATGGTAACTATTGTTAGAGTGTGTGCAAAGACGCCCAATGAGATGCCCAAGAAATCCACATGCGACCAGAGGAGAGAGCGTCCATGCTGGAACATCAGGAAGAAAGTATGGGGAACATGGCTCTGGAAGGGATTTCTATATGAGGGACAAAGGAGACATACTCTCAGCAATGGGACCAAACCTATCAAAGGCACAGAGCAGAACAACCACTGTGAGGTCAGAGGGGTATTAGAGAACCCCAGAGCAGCCCATTCTCTGTGTGAGTCTGGTCCCTCCCACCTTCCCACATTCACAGTGGGAAAAGAAGGCACAGACTACCCTAAACATCCAGGGCGGAGGGTAGAGTGGGCTAGGAGAAAGCCATTCAGACCCATCTAGGGAGCCTTCCTGGAGGAGGCTTTTGATGGAGCCTCAGGATTTAAAGTCTGCGGAAGGAAATTTCAAATGGAGGGGCCATCTAAATGATGCTGTAAAGAACTGACACCATATAACATGTATAGAAGGAGGTGGATGGATGGATGGATGGATGGATGGATGGATGGACGGATGGATGGGACTAGGTGAGTGCAAGGCTAGAGCTTACCAAGGGAGCAAGGGAGAGCCATTAAATACTGCAAAGGGAGAGTAGATGCTATGGTGATAGTCAACTTCAGAAACATGAAGTCTGACATTAGATCCAAGACATTAGATCCAAGGAGTTACCCAGGACCCTGCCATGGTCCACGGTGGCGAACATCCCAAGCCCAAGAAGAGATGGTGCAAGGAAAGATGTACACTTTAGAGAGAGAAGATGAGGAACTCAAGATGGACCTCATGGAAGCCTCTAGTCCTTCCCTTTGGCCTTGGATTCTTACCTCTCCTAACAGGCCTCATTTGCCCCAGGAGGCTGTTTCTACC